GAATGTTTGTCTATGGGTTCATAAGCGGCGGTGAGTACGGAGTGATCGCTGAGTACGCGCCGGACTACTCGGGCACTGTGTTTGGTGTGGCCAATACACTCGCGTCCGCCACTGGCTTTGCCGGACCTCTCATTGTCGGCGTATTACTAGATCATGGGGTCAGTGCTAATACACACCAAATAGTTGTTAAGATATGAGTAAACATAATGTTGTATTTGCGTGAATAGGACGGGTCGGGTGCCCGACACCAGTGGAATATAGTGTGGTATTTATCTGCGGCTATCTATCTGTTCGGCGGTATATTCTATGAGCTGTTCGGCAGTGCAGAGCCTCAGTCGTGGGCTGTTGTGGACGACCATCACAAACAGGATCCCAGAAAAATTAGTTTCATTTCTGATTATTATGTCATTTAATTTTCACTTAATTCGTGTAATATATTAGATTTGTACATTATTTTGTTATTGTTCATATTTTAAAAATCAAATTATAAGAACATATTAGATTTTATGTATTCATTACATTTTATTGCAAAATTATTAATTATTTATCTAAACATTAAATAGAAAATATGAAGTAAAATAAAACAGTAAGTATTGTGTGACTAAGTTTATTAAATTTAATATTAATGATTAAGTTTTAAATAAACATGAAATTTAAGATAAAGAATATAATTAATTAAAAATATTAGAAGATTCTTTACGAAACTTGTATAGTTTATATACATAGGCATTAGTCAAACAATTATAACTTGTATAAAAACTTATAACATTTACTATTATATAATACTAATATCCATTCTTCTCATATTTCTAGAGATTTTTCTGTAGAAATGATAAAAAGATTATGTTTTCTGACAAGAATCACTCATTTCTAACATTTTATTATTGAGAATCATTGTATTTATTAAATTATTATTTTGAAGTATTTTATCAAATGTAAATATATAAATATATCTAATTTTTTTTATTAGAATTTTGGCAACTATTTAAAAAAAATTAATATATAGTTTGTAATAAGCGAATAATAAAAATAATATTATTTGAATTCAATAATTGATCAATAATGTGTACAGTAAAATTGTTGATATCATTTTATAAAAATGTAAATAAATTTATTTTTATTCAATTAATTGATATAAATTGAATAACACCAATATCAAATAACAATTTATTAAACACAAAATATTTATCATGTACATTTCAATTATTTTGCTTATAAAATTAATAATTATAATAATACTATTATTATTTTAAGATCAAATGAATAATCGATTTGTTTCTAAAAATAATTCACGTGTTTATCAAATGCTTTGCCAATAAAATTCAAAATATTTTCTCATAGAAAATATGTAATATTAATTAGAAATTATTTAAATAATCTTAAATTGCATATCAAATGACAATTAATAAAATACCAAACTAGTTAACCAATAACCCAGCAACTTGTATAAAAGCCGCATAAAGTGATGAGTGGACACAGTCTATAACAGGCATCACAATGAAATTGCTTCCGATTATCGTATGTTTGGTAGCGTTTGGGCTATTGTTGAGCACAGAAATCAGTGCTCAACGCAAGGCATTGGGCGGTCAACTCCAGGGTATGAATTGTCTGTTCATTTATCTTAATTTAAATCATATATCAAATGATAGGCCCGTCAGTGATGGGGAGACCGCTTCGGTTTATGCGAAAGGAACCTTCACGACGCGTATCAACCAGGACCAGGACCAGGGTCAGTCGCAAGAAATTCAAACTAGCACGTATTGTTTGAATTACTTTTACTAATGTCTCTGATATAATGTCACATTCACTCTATTCAAGTTAATAGAATATATAATATTTTATGTAACTTTATACTACTTTTAAAATACTATTTTTTTATTTTTTTATTTCAATATATACCATGGTATTATTCTTATCATAATTGTGACAGAGAAATGTCTATTTAGTTGTATAATCTTTATATAATAAATAAAATAAAATAATTATTTGCATTTATTCAGTGGTTGAAAGTTTTTATTAATACAATTATCAAATGAATTAATTTATTTCTAAAAATGTTTTCATGTAACATTAATTCATTTGTAATAAAATTAATTTGTAATTGTGTTTATTAATATGATCTAACCTTCAATTATATGGGTTTTAGACTTATTTGGCAAACACTCATATTGTATTTAATATTCAAAACTTATACTTATGGCCCAATAAATCATTGCTCTCTCTCTCTCTCTCTCTCTCTCTCTCTCTCATTACATAAAATTAATAAATTATAAATTAAGTTAATAAGTGATCAAAAAATAAGTTCTTTAAATATTTGGACAGTTATATTATAACACTTATTTACTTATTTCATTGTCTTTATAAATCAATAAATCAAACCAAATTCATAGAGAATCTGATTGAGAAATATTTAGTTATCATGTCAAAGCATTTGAATGAAAATTTATATTAAAATTATGTTTCATTGCTAAGCATTCAGTAAAAAATCCATTCATCAATATTTCAGAAATATCAATTTTAATTTTAAATAATACATATAATTTTAATTAATCAGATTTATTGATTTACTAATATAATAGCACTTCAGCAACTGATCATCTCTTGCAAAAAATCATTGTATCAAGCAAATGTTTAAAATAATTAAATATTGTAATAACAAGAATTAAATATATATATATATATTTATATAGACGTATATATATATATATATGTCTCAATTCTAATTTTATTTAAATCACAAGTGCTTTACATCTGGTGTTTGTGTATTTACATATTCCCATTGTGTCAAGCTTAACTCAGGGTTATAATTAAAATACTACAGTATCAATTGTAATATAAATAAAATATTGTTTTATATATTTATGTGTTGTACTTTTAGATACAACACATAAATATAAAAGTAATTATATTTATAATATTATTTTATCTTTTTTAAAAATATTTAATAAAAGACGATTATATTATAAATGCCCATAAACTGACCAGTGTATTGATCACTTTGATGTTAATTCCCGTTAATTGACAACAAAGTGATCTTGAAAATTATTCTCTCTGTGAATATGGTATGTATACTTTATATTAGTTAACAATTAATATCCGTCTCAATAACACTGAATATACGGTAATAGTCTTATAATATGATCAGATGCCAAACAATAGCTCATTACAGTATACAGTATGAGATTGTCGATACACAATGAAATTGTTTAACTGATACTCAAATTATAGATAGCGAAGAAAATTGTGCTTAAATTAAATTATATTTCATTTCCTAAATTATCTCAATATTTGTTATGATTATTGCAAAGTGTTTAGGTCCGGCAAAGCCAGTGGCGGACGCGAGTGTATTGGCCACACCAAACACAGTGCCCGAGTAGTCCGGCGCGTACTCAGCGATCACTCCGTACTCACCGCCGCTTATGAACCCATAGACAAACATTCCCACCAATAGTAAGGCTATGACTGCATTGCCGTTACAGCCGACGATTGGCACCAGTAGTAAACACAGGGCACAGCCAAACATTGCTGAAAAACGTGATGATTATGTTAATTAAGGTGTAATTTATTTTATTTTTTTGTTAAATATTACCTAAACTTTGAAAATTCTTGCGATTTCTTGTTTGTGAAAACCAGTGCTTATTTTTAATCCAAGCTGAGAGGGGACTACCACTTAATAAGGCTACACATAAAACAACATACATAAGCGAATTGAACCAACTGTTCGTATGGATAGCCATCCCGAATATGGAGTCTAAATATTGAGGCATTTTTGTACACAACAGGTAATAACCGAAACTTCCCGTAGACTTAGCCATAGCTGAAGCCCAGACCACTTTTGAGGTGAACACAGATTTCCACGGAATCGACAAATTCTTGACATTTTTTGAATTGGGATTATTGGACACAATATACTTCAACTCACTTTTGCTAATAGTTTTGTGCTCTTCGGGACTATTGCTGACGAAATAACACCAAAATATAAACCAAATGATGTGAACAAATGATGTCACGTAGAAAACCATTGGCCAACCCTTCAGGAAATCAGTTTTGATGAGATAACCGGCCAAAGGCATTGTGATGACACCGCCTAAGTTGCCGGTAAATGTAGTTCCCATTAACGCTAAGTTTTTCTCATTTTGTGGAAACCATTTGGCAAACATTGAGAACAGGGATGAGTAGACAACCCCGTGAAAGGCACCGATGAGTACGCGCATCACAATCACCAGCGAGTAGTGGATATCCGCCAACACTGGGATCAATGCGTTACATATGGCCGGCACGAAGACCCCCAAACCGGCCATCCATTTGGCACCGAATTTGTCGGCGTATGAGCCCAACAGTTGGGTTGCGGTATAGCCGTAGAAATATGAGCCCAGAATCACACCCTGTATTGATTCGCTCCACACATATGTGCCCTAAAAATATATTATTTAATTTGTTTTATCTTAATTATAATTAGTTATACAGTACTTTATATCCATGTCCATCACTTTTATTATACGAATTAATATCATAGCATAAGTCATCAGTTATTTGAGTGTCATCCTTGTCCTCCATAATAGCTTTCTCGTCGACCATTGCAATGATAGCCACACTTAGATTAGACCGCAATAGGTATACAAGAGTACATCCAAGACATCCCAATACACCCACTATTATACGCGAGGGGATCAGCGGTTCCTTAGACCTCATTGTGTTATTGTATCAAAATATGTAAATATTATTTTGACGGAATAGTTATAATGTTTCAAATGCATAATATTTTGTAAAGAAATATTAAATAAAACATTTTCTTTTATATTTTCATAATATTTGTTTTATTATTCTCATAAAAGTTTCATAATTTAATGATTATTATAAAATACTCGTACAGAATATACTTGAAAAAGTTTTTTATGAGTTTTAGTACCGCTATAATTTTATATTATAATACTATTAGAAAGACTATAAAATCTCATTAATGGTGATCCAAATAAATTATTTTTAAATGAGAGGGAACTTCATTCCCATTCCCGTCGGGTAATAAAATATTGATAAAAACAGTCACAGAATAATGTATTTACAGGCATATAACAGGGAATGTAATAGTCTAGTACTAGCACTTGAATTTATATAAATGCTTAAAAACAATTATATAACACAACCGTAAAAAAATGATGTCCAGAATATTTGGACCACTATTTGAATAGTGAATACGTGAGTGATAACCAGATATGACTAGTTACTAGACTCAAATGACGGACTTATTTGTCAATGATATACTTTGTGATGGTGCATATAAAATAAAAAATATTAAATAATATTTTCAGTAGCCATATAAAATAAAATTAATTATTAGGAAAATAGTTACTCGCAATTCTTAATGTAATAATAAAATGCAATGAGTATGAGTACTATTACTAATAGCCTATTATTCTTTAGTTTTTATATCCTATAATTAATATCTGTAAAAATTATTAAGAATTTGTAAATACTGTAATTATAATGAGCATAAATATGGCATAAATATGCCATATTATATCTTAGCATTAACTAATGTTACCATAAAATCCATTAAATGTTTTAACATAATATCCAATTTTTACAAAGAATCATTAAATTGAGTTAATTGTTATTTGATATAACAAATAAACTAAATTGTGAAGGACTATGTTTTTGTTCATTAGTAGAGTATATGATCAGCCTTTTCAGTGTCCAGTATTTCAAATACATACAATTAGTGGAGAGTTTGCTAGGTAGGTTTTATAATTAAAGTATTGATTGCTTATGACAACTGTAAGAATTCTTGCGATTCTTTGTTTGCGAAAACCCAACATTTATATAGAAATCATTTAGACAGAGGGCCGTTATGTTAGACAAACAGATAATGATTTACAATATACAATGACATTGAACCCAATGAATAGCCAGACCGATTTAATGATAAGGCACTCAGAGTTTTCTGCATTTATGACCAAAATATTAATATTGATATACAATATGCATTGATATGGCTTTAGTTACAGACACTACAGAACCGTTGATAACATGATCGGTACAAAGGCTTAAATGGTTTGCTGTTGAGGTAGTGGTCCATAGGTTTCTATATAGTAATCTGTATATTACTGTACCATAAAGTGAGAATTGTGTTTAAGCATAATTTATTTAAATATAGATGCAGTTAGTTATAAGACAACTATTAATGGAAACTTAAGGGAAACTTAAGTCCACCCACTCCTCAGTGAAAACATCCACTCAATTGACATTCAATTCCACTTTTGGTGGTTTTCAATGTCTAAAAGGATTCACACTTTTTTTTAATCAATTGTGTTTTTATTAGGGAATATATTACAGTTATTTCTGTGAAAATTGTGAAATAAATAATATTATGTTTTACTTTTAATTAATACATGACTACAAGTGTTTGGGTATTAAATACGTAATTCTAGACATCGTTTTCCCAAACATATGAACAACTTTTTTCCGTAACACAAGTGTTTTGTT